GGGGGGGGCGGGCGTCATGCTGAGCACTTCATGGCATCATCTTGAAACCTCAGAAACGTCCTCCAGGCTACAGAAGATGTCATTACCTCCCCCTTACAGATGAGGAAACTAAGCACCCCAGTCAGATGGCTCCTAAGTGGGAGAGCCAGGATCTAAGCTCCAATCTTTGATTCCAGAATCTCTGCTATTCCCATCCCATTGTAGTAAAGTTAGGAGCAGTGGAGGAGAAAATTCAGCTTTTACTGTAATCTTATCCTTGGTGTGTTTCATCACTTCCTGTCCACATGCTGTTGCTGTCATGGTCTGCATCTGTGTATGTGGAATGACTAAGCCCAGCTGTGCAGTCTGCCCCTCTACACTGTCATAGGAGAAAGCCCAGGTGCCTTAAGACTGACACTTGGCTTTCCAGGTCAGTCTGTCTTAAATCTAAAGCTATTTCCAGCTTCTCTCAACCTTCTTAAGAAAGGAGGGAATGTCAAACAGCAGCCTTAACATATCGATGGGAGATTTACTGACCAAAGTAGTTAAAAGTCAGCTGAGAGCCAAGCCTCTTGCCAAGGTAAGACTCACAGGAGAAGGATTTACTGGGACAGGGACGCGCTAACACAGTCCTCAAGAAGTCTGCTAAGACCCGAGTTCTTTCCACTAGCACTGGAATTTCAAGTAGCCACGAATAAAGGCCATAGCCTGTAAACATTTTCACACAGCTTCAGAAAAAAACCCAGCCTTTTCATTCGGCCTTCTTGGGTACTGAAACCTTGAGCTGAGGCTCTCTGCTGTTTGCTTGCTTTCTGCTACCATTCCAGCTGTCACCGTTTTTATTTTCCCCCATAGCCTCACTTTTAATATTGACTCCAAAATAAGTTTTCAAATTTGGGATTCTTAGAGGGTGATAATGGCAGACGCCAGCCCATCAACAAATGACATGGCCTGCGTTATACCAGCCAGCTTAACCAACATCCACTACGAGATGGACTTTGTAGAGCTGCTTCAGAAAGTGGCAAGAACGATGTTGGATGGGTGTGTGCAAAGCGAGGGGGAGTACCTTGAGGGAGATTAATGGCAGTGTGTCTTTTACTGTAATAATTTTTTTTATTTAAATAGCCACCGTATTGTTTGATCACACCTCATACATTTACTCCAGACTTTCCTGCAAGCAGATGAGAACTAACATTGTGTCCCTACTATGTGTCAGACACATTATGTAAGTCCTCACACAATCCCAGCAAAAAAAACATGATGGTCCAGTTTTACAGGAAAGAAAGTAGATTCCAAGAGCCTAAGGAAGCAGAATCCCAGGTATTGATTCCCACTCTGTGTCCAAAGCCACTGCCGGAAGAATCCAGTTCAGGAAATGGCTGGCTGGTGTCCGTGCTTGCTGCTCAGCCCCAGCACCGCTGCCCTCCAGCTCTTAGAGGCTCCATTCCTAAGATTATTTCTGTGTCCAGAAACTTAGGCTGTCTTTCCTCCCCTTCCAGTGCTGGCTGAAGATGCGATCAAGGCCGCCCTGGCTGATTACAAACTGAAACAAGAACCCAAGAAAGGAGAGGCGGAGAAGTAAGCCCTTGGCGAAGCTTCCGGCCGGACACATCGGCTGCTTGTCCACCCGCCATGCAGTCACCGTAGATTTCCGAAGCCCCTCGCACTGCAGTGAAAGAGCTATGCTACACTCACATTTACTGTTCACATCGTAGCTCTAATGCAAGCAAAATACACAGTGTAATTGTTCTGAATCCTGTGGTTTCTTTCAGCCCACTTTTATTGCCTTAACCCAGTTTATGTATATTCTGAATTGTGTGGATGGCCTCAAACCAAAATCAGTAATGAAGTCTCAAGTTTTGGTAGTCCATGAAGTGCACAAATATCTACTTTACCTGACTCTATTTTGGGGAAGATTACCAATAGAATGCGCTCGTGAGATTCTTTGTTAGAACCAAGTATTGTACATAAAACAGATCTGCATATATGCAATAAATAAAAGAATGCAAGACAATGTTTTTCTCTGCTAAGCCTTGTCTCTTGGGTCCCTCACTCACCCCAAGTGCTGCCCAAAGCCCCTTGGTGTTCCCACACGCTGGACCAAGATGACCCATGCGCCTTTCTGAGCACACTGGGCAGTAAAGACTGCGGAGATTTTTACAAAGCCAAATGAAGGTCATGTTTCATGAAATGAATGAAGGTGAAAGGAGGTGGCCATCACTTTTGGTTGCTCTTTGCAAAATAATAGACTGATAACGTGAAAACGAAAATTCTTTTTTGTAATTTCACTGGTTTGTGAAATCCTAAAACCTGACACGCGCTGGCTTAGACAATAACCCTAAAGCTGGGGGCCAAATAGGTCAAGAGCTCCTGGGGAATGCATTTAAAATCCAGAATTCTAAGCCCAGAGATCAGCTTTAGGTCTGGGCAGGTGATTCCAACTTGTGTGGTGGCGGATGAGCCAAGCCGTAGGGAAGAAACTTCTTCTGGCCCAGTCTGTCATGCACAGGTGTGACCTTTACACAGTTCACTCTGAACTGTCCGTGGACAGTGAGCTAAAGTTGGAAATATCCGTCCCTGGCTCAGACGTGAATAACAGCCCTTCTAATCACTGTGCCCCCCGTTCATAGACTTTACTGCCCAGTTTGCTCAGAAAGGTGCGTGTGTCATCATCTTGTCTTCCCCCCCAAGGTTGAGGGACAGGGCGTACCATTCTGAGGTACCCACAGTCATGCACCAGCTAAAATCCCACCAAAGGAGGCCCAATTTTCTAGTGAAAACATGATATTGAAGTAACAGCTATGTCTCAGATCTCTTTCAACTCTCCCAAAGTAAGACGTGTTTGTCTTTTTTGAGGGTGGTTTTTGTTTGGGCATAGGCTGGCTGCCTCTTAACTATTCCGCCTTCGTTAAAATATGTATATATATTTAAAAATCCTCTGGGTTCTGGGGAAGGGCACAGAACTTCAAAGACCATTCCCTAGAGACCTAGAGACCACAGGACCTTTATAATCTCAAATTAGAGCCACTGAGCGGAACCATGTCAAATTGTCCCATGTGGCATGTTCTATTTAATTCACAATCCCTCTAGGCTGCGCTGGTCTCTTCCCCTTCCTTATTATATGGGGTAACACTGCAATTCCCCATCACTCTTCTTTGTGATTGTTTTTAAATGAGATGGTTTTGTCCTGGATAACATCCTCTCTCTGAAAGTTAAAGCTGAGTTCTACACATCAGAAGCTTCTCGTAAACAGCCAGAACAATATTACCAGAACAGCCCAAACCTCAAAATAGGTGGTTGTGCAGCTAAAAGAAATTTGTTGTTGTTTAATTTACATTGGAGACACTCCTTTTCCCAGACAAATCTAGTTTTAACCACACGAGGGCATCGTGTACCCTACAGTGAGCTCAAGTCCAGGGTCCATACCGTCTCCAAGGAGGTCTTAGCATCACCGGGTAAACTCTGCCATGGAGATCTTGACATAGGAGTTACGACAGTCCATCAAGCACCATGCTGGGTCAGGTCCTTCCAGCTATAATCCTGTTAGTTCTAACAGCCCACTGAAGTTTGTCTCAAACAAGGAACGTGGCTCAAGAGGCCAACTGACTCTCAAAGCAGCTCACTTGGGCTGCGTGACCCTACAGCCCAGGCTTCTCCCATCTCATTTCCTCCCAGCAGAACATCTCAAGGCTGCTAACCTCACACCTGTGCCCCGAGCATTCTCAGGAACAAGGCAGCCAACGCAGAATGAGCCCTACTTCATTCCTTTGGCCAGCTCACCACCGAGCACCGTGACCCTCACCCTGGCTGTGCATCACAGACATCAAGGAGCCCAATTTCATCCCAAAGTCCAATTAAATCCGACGCCCTAGGGGTGGGACCTGGACACTGGTGTTTTTGAAAAGCTCCCCAGGAGGCTCCAATGTGCATGCATAGGTGGAAACAGCTATGAAGTGCTGTGCACTTTGCAAAGCAGTTTGCTAAAATTATTTCAGCGGATACTCACTGTCTTGTGAGTATGTCTTGTGAGAAGGTGTCACTTCCCATCTCCAAAGAGCTCTTGAATCCCCCTTCCTCTCTGCCCCCACCGCCAGTCTGCCTTGGTCTAGGCCTCCATCATCTCTCTCCTGGCTTCCCCATCAGTCCCCCTGCCTCCAGCCTTACTGCTGGGATCGATTTCCCACATGGCTGCCAGAGGGCTAGTTCTAAACAAAACTCTGACCCTGTCCCTTCTCTTCTTAAAGTCCATCCATGACTTGCTGTTGCCCTTCAGACAAATTCCAAATCACCTAGCACATCGGTCACTTTGTTCCAGCCACACTGAACCTTAACTGCAGCCTTTGCTCATGCAGTTCCTCCTGCCAGAAATGCCCTCACCAATCCTCTTCCCTTAACCTCCACTCAGCCTGGGAGCCTCATCTCCGGCATCATCTCCTCTAGGAAGCCTTCCCTGATTCCTCCAGGCTAAGCCAGGTACCCCTCTCAAATTCCACAGTCCCCTGCACGTCCCTGATCACATACATAGCATGGACAGCATTGTAATACGCTGTTTTCTTATCTTTCTATATCATTACCCAGAGACTGAGTTCTATTTTTAATAGAAATTATTTTTTTCAATTTTAAACAGGTAACATGCTATTAAGAAAAAATTGGAAGAGCCTGAAAGGGAAGTTTCCTTGCCACCCCCACTTATTCCCCAGTCTCCTTCCTCAGAGGCAATCTCTGATACTAGTTTCTTAGGTGTCCCTCCAGAAATTTTCTGGGCATATTCAAGTATACATGTGTTTAAATAGACTGTCCTTTTTTCTCTTTACACAAATGGTAACATATCTGACAATTAAGTTCATGAACTCATCCTAGAGAAAGTGCTACATACCTCACTGCTGAATATCACTATGGTCACCTTCGAAGTACTCCCCTTGGGAAGCTATGCACCAACGCCAGCGTCTAGTCCACCCTTCAAAGCAATTTTGGAACTCTTTTTCTGGAATAGGCATCAGAACTGTCGTCGTATTACCCTTGACGTCCTGCATGTCATCAAAATGTCTTCCTTTCAATATTTCCCTTTATCTTCAGGTAAAGGAAGAAGTCATTGGGGGCCAGATCAGGTGAGTAGGGAGGGTGTTCCAATACAGTTATTTGTTTACTGGCTAAAAACTTCCTCACAGACAGTGCGGTGTGAGCTGGTGCATAGTTGTGATGCAAGAGCTCCTTTGGGACCATTTTTGCACACACCTTTCTCATGCCAAGATTTTCAGTTAAGATTTTCCTAACTGTTTCTCTATTGATGTTTACTTGGTCTGCTTTGCTTCTCACAGTCAGCCGACGTTTTTGACGCACAATGCAACGAATTTTTGCAATGTTTTCATCCATTCTGCTTGTTACTGGCCGCCCTGACCTCTTTTCATCAGTGACGCAGTCTCTCCCCTCAGAAAAACGTTTAATCCATTTGTCACTGCTGTTTTCTTTATGGCATTATTGCCATAAACTTGGACTAACACGTCCCTGATTTCACTTCCACTCTTGCCAAGTTTAACAAGATATTTAATGTTTGTTCATTGCTCTACTTCAAGCTCAGACATTCTCATGACGACGCACAAAAACACGCAACAATAATGAACACCCCTCAGCAAGACACCATCACACGTCGACACCAGAGCTGTGAGACACTGATATACTAAGATTATGAAACCTTACCGAGCTGTTTGTACAGTGCTGCCAATGTAAGCGGACGGTGGCAAGTTCGCGAACTGAATTGTCAGACCTTGTACTTCCCAAATTTCTGCATCTTTTTATTTTCCAATTGAGCGTATTTCCCCATATCAGTTCCTATAGATCTGTTTCATTCTTATTAACAGCTACACAGTACTCCATGTGTGATGGTCTATAATTTAGTCTTCTATGGATGACTGTGTAGGTTGTTTTCACAGCAATGTCTTAATTGGGGAACCCAGCATCTGGTACAGTTCTTGACTTATTAGGGGCTCCATGAATGCTTATTGGATGGATGGATGCATGCGTGGATGAGTGGATGGATGGATGGATTTGGGGGTAGGTGAATAGATAGATGGTTAGGTGGGTCAATGGATGGGTGGGTGAATGAATAGAAAGGTGGATGGATGGAGGGGTGTGTGAGTGGATGGGTGGGTTTATGGATGAATGGATACGTAGATGGAGAGTGAGTAGAGAGATGCATGGGTGGGCGGATAGATGGATGGATGGGTGGGTAGGTGGATGGAGAAACAGAGGCTCAGAGAGATTAAATAACTTGCCCCAGGTGGCGCAGCTAGGAAGTGGTAGGTTAAAGCTCTGGCTGAGATGCTCTGCCTGCCTCCCACCCCCTTCAAAGCACCACACCACAGCTCTGACCACATCCCTAACCTTTCCTAGATGTGATTCCTGGATTTTGGCCACTTGGAACCATACCAAAATGCACAGTTTTAGAATTTCACATTAAGCATTGTCCTGTCAAAACTAGCAGCCTCTATCATGGAGTCTTCTTAAAAAGCCAAGCAAATGAGGGAGCACCTCTTTATGATTTGGGCCCCTTGAACTTGAGGCAAAAGTGCAGACTCCGTATCCATCCTTGTGACTGAAGACTCTAGGTCTCACTGAATCTTGCTAGAGTTATGGGGTCCCCACAGCTCCAGCCCCAATGAGAAGATGGATGTGGAGCACATTCTCTCATCAGTGGCTCTTTCTGGTCTGTCTGCTTGCTTTCTCCACCCTTCAAGATGATATCAGCTGACCCCTCAAAAAGCCACCCCCCCAGAGAAAACTGTCTCCACAGAGGGAGGCAGCATCAGGACAGGACAGAGTGAGCTTGGAGAGT